CAGATGAAATCCAAATTTGATGGAACAAAGTTAAACCCAAAGATAGAAACCTGCCAAAAATCAGAGATTTAAACCAAAATTTGAGCTCTTTTTCCCCTTATAAACATGTACCTACTTAGATTTTTAAAGCCCTTCAGTTTTCACATTGTATCATTTTATGCCGGCGAAATTTCCCCTGATTATAATGATCACCTGAGGCCTAAAAGCTTGGTTGTTCTTTAAGGATAAAATGATCAGAATCCTGATGTTGGAGATGACTGATCTGTCTTCCTCTCCACTCCACTGGATCCACCTCCACTCATCCAGGCTCTGGATCATGACCAACCAATCATCTGCAGCCTGGCAGTCTGTCCAGGTGACAATCACCTGAGAAGACACAAGAACTTTTACCGTTATCTGTTCCCATAAAAAATACTTTTCTGTTTACTTTTTTTAACCTAATCTAATTAACCTTGATTGCTATAACACATCTTTCAGCTAATTAATTAATCTAGAAGATACCAAACACATATTGGCAGCAAGGCTGGATCATCCAATGAGCTTTCTAAGCAGGGGCCTAGGGGCCCATGTGATTTTGGTCAATACATGGTAGCCAATGACCAATAACGCACATGCTGTCACTGGTAATTTGAAAATAACTCTGAGGAATTATATGACTCGTCATGCACAATTGTGGTAACCGTGGCAACCAGAATGTGCGCCCCCCAACAACAAGAAGTGGTTGTTTCAAACAGAGGGGAACAAAAGTGTGTTTGTTAAGACGTGTGCCATCAATAAACAGGATCCATTTGGACGCTGAACTCAACAACATTTAGAGCAGATGCTCAGCAGGTTCAAAGCGGTGCTCTGGCTTCCCCACAAAAAGGAAAAAAATGTAAGATTAAGATTTCTGAATCAGGGATATTCTTTCCTGTCTGCGTCGATCGGACCGAGATGATCTTACCCGAGTAAAAAAAATTAAATAAATCACAGCAAACATTACGCTGCGATGTGAACAGGTGTCTTAAACTGCGTGCGCGTCGGATAGCAGGACTGCTATAAAAAGGTGATGTTTTTCTGCTTTCCCACCCAGCATCCACCAGGCTGAGATGCCACAAGAACCCAAAATGAAATTAAAATAAATGTACTCCCAATCCATTTTTTTTAAATAAGCTATTTTATTTCGTATGTCACTAAAATAAAAAAAGGAGCTGTTCTAAATTTTGTTGTATTGGAAGGGGTCATAGAAAGCAAAACCGAGTTTCCATTGTCATAGATGAATAACGATAGTTCAGTGGGTGAAATGGACGTACAGAGAAGATCAAATTCACATTGACACCTGCAAATCTCACAATTCTAAACTTCCAACATAAAACAGGTGAATCCAAATGAAGCCCTGAGTTTATGTAAACCCTGCGCTGTTGCCTTGTTTGGTTCTGACCTGTACTTTTGTCACGCCCTGAAATTGACATAAAACCAGCCCACTGGTTTAGTGGCCCAAGAACATGAATAGAGGTAGATGTAAGACACCAGTTTAGCTGTTTAGCCTACAGTTGGTTTACTTCTACAAGAATTACGGAGCAGGCAGTTTCTCAATTGAAAATGAGCCAGAGTTCCAGGCTGCACGGAGGAAGGGGAACAGTTTCACAGTCTTCCCAAGGATCCTAAGACTCGACAGGCATGGATTATTTTTGTCTATCAGAAGATCGCTGCAAAGTTTGATGCTCAGCTGTTCATTTGCTCTAAGAATTTTACCAAAGACAGCTTTCAAAATCTTGGACAGTTCAAAGCAGGATTTGCTAAACTTCTTTTACTGAAACGAGGGCCTGTTCCCACCGTAAGGCCATCACTACCGCAAGCTCTAAGTATTTTTTTCTCGCTTAGCTGTTGATAGCAATGCTAGTATATCTATGGTGACCAGATATGGGTTTCTGAAAAGGAGGACTCTCCGTCCCCCGCTGGCTCCCTGCTTCCGTCCGCCGGGGTTCCCGGACCAGACCGGAGCTGACGGCTCAGTTCTACTGCACTGTAACCTACTTAAATCCCAGACGATTTTGAAAATTTCCCTGGGCATTTTTTTAGGTATGAAAAGTAGGACATGTTAGGAAAAAAAGAGGACGTCTGGTCATCCTACCAAATCAACAATTTGATGTTTCAGTGAGTGAGTGCTTGTTACTATGATGCATCTTTGCTCAGCAGCTTCGCTCATTGTAAACCAACCAATCAGAGCACAGCTCATCTAAATATTCATGAGCATACCATAAAAGGAAGAAAACCTGTCGTTTCATTCTAGGGCTTTTAACCAGGCTTGCATTAGGGCTCATAGAACAGCAGATATGCCATTTTCAGCCCAACCAATGTTACACATTATTCAGAGACTTTTAAGGACCAGCACCAAATACCCTATAGAATCATTCTATGACCCTTTAAGTTGGAAAACGGATAAACAAATTATACATGGATTCAAAACGGTACATTGAAAAATTATTGGTCTAACTGCTTTACAGTTTATATTGCATTTTATTTTATGCACTGAATTGATTTACTTATGCACAAAAAATTGTGCGTGCAATGGAAAATTGCGCAGCCTAGAGGGAACATTGATCTGAGGATTTATCTAATCAAACGAGGGGGTGAAATGAGGCCGATGAAGTTCTGGAGGGGATGTGAAAACTAAGCTGGGTTCAGATCTGAAGGAGGCCACCTTTAGCCAGACAGCAGGGACCACAGCTGCAGCAGCAGCAGCAACTCACAGGGGCGTCACACACCTGTCGTCTTTCTTCTGTCTGGCAGACAGAAGAAAGACGACAGAAGATGTGGAAGAGATGGGACAAAAATTAGGAGAGCAGACAGCATGTCTAATTAAATTATAACATCTTTTAATTCAAAATTTTATTTTGTTCCAACAGAAAATTGGTGGCCAATTTTTGGTTTGAAAACGTATTATAAAAAACGTAAAAGATTCTTTATATAAAAGTGAAAAACCGGCATAATATAACGAAGAAAAAAAGACGAATTAAAACAGGAATTTTCTAAAATTCTGATAAAGACTAGATTTATATACATGTTTAAGCTAGAATGACATTTAAATATGATTTCCCTACAACTTTAACAAGTTAGAGTAATTTTAAAATGTGGGTTAAAAATAAGATTTAGCAGATAAAAAATGTGAAAATATCTCAATATAACTGTACTCCTCTAAATCCAGGCCTGTTAGGCCGGTGGATTATCTAACAGACATTGATGAAAACTGAGCTGACTGAGCAGCTGACTGCCTGAGTAACTCATATTAGGCATAATATGAAAAAGAATTGAAATTTTGACACCTACCCTCTACACTGACCAAAATCCACAATGTTTATTTTCTTCCTATTTTTATATTTGTGCTACAGAGAACACAAAAGCTAATAAAATACATTGAAATCAATAACTTCAGTTAAATGAAGTATTAAACCTGTCATATCTGTTGTGAATGAGTAGTGCTGATCTAAAATGTCTCCCTGACACTCTTAAAGCGATTTTAAAGTTTTTCTTTTTTATTTCATTATGAGGATGATTCCTTGTTTGAACTAAAAACAGCAGAACTGTGGTACCTAAGTGGTCCACGCCATGCTGATGAAGGCAGCGGCTCCATGTTTGGATCTGATAGATCTGCGTCTGCGAGGTCCATCACACATCTGCAAGATAAAGAGAGACAGAGTCCATAAAGCTGCTGAGAACAATCAGTAGTTTGTTTTGATTTGTAGCTTATGTTGGTAGGTAATAAACAAAAGAAATAAAATAAACAGTTACAGATTCATGTTGTGTGTTTGACTTTAAGGCATACCGGGACGCAGCTGTTCTCCTGTTTGACACACAGCTGCAGTTTACAGTGCAGGTAGACCTCAGCAGAGCTTCCAGAGAACTGGAACATGTTGAAGGAGAAGTAGTTGGAGGTTCCCTCTCCGTTTCCTTCCACCTTCACCGTCTGGTCCTCAGAGTTTGGACAACTGCCCACAAAAGTGAAAACGGTCTTAGTTTAATGGTCAGATTAGAGAGACTATAAAGGTTGTCATGACTGGATCTCAGC